TTTGTATCTAATATAATTAAAAATATATATATTAAAATGTATATAAAATATATTAAAATGTATATTTAAATTTTAATTATTTTGATATTTTTTAGTTTTTAACAAATATTTAATAAGCAGTTGTTATTAGTTCGACTCCAAAAAAATTGCTTAAATTAAAAAAATTGGGAATTAATTTTCCCTCTCCAATTTTTTATAATATATATATTATTTGTGAAATTTTATTGACATTTTATTTTCAGTGTAAAATAAAAAAAAGAGTAAGAAGAAGTGGCGTGAAATAATATTTTTCTAAAAAGTAAGGCCAAGTTTAGCAGTCCAAAAATAATTCATATTTTTATCTTTTTTTCATCACATCACCTCTCTACTTTTCTGCACATCTTTTCGTAAAAAGACAAAAAGTACACTTATTTGGGTCATCACAAACAACCCCTAAATCTCACCTCAAAAACACGGGAAAAAAAATATGAGTGTAAACACAATTTATTAATTTAAAATAATCTATATAATAAAGAAAAAGGTTAAAGTATTGTTACCTCTATTAAGAAATATGCAAAAATAGCATTTTCATAGTCTCTATGATTCAAGCGCATATTCAAATCCAAAGTTAAGATATGTATATGTTTCCATATAACAGAGTGTCTTAATGATGCATTTACAATTTGCTCACGAACTCCTTTGGGTATAACTGGTAAGATTTGTCGAAAGTCTCCACCAAGAATAACAGTAATACCCCCAAATGGCTTTTCACTATCACGAATATCCCTCAATGTACGATCAACCGCCTCAACACAATGTCTATGTTGCATAGGAACTTCATCCCAAATTATGAGTTTTGTTTCTCTAAACAACTCAGCTTGTAATGATTGTTTGGTAAACCCACAAAGTGAATTTTCCAAGACATCTAACGGAATGAAAAATGTTGAATGTGCAGTGCGACCTCCTACCAATAAAAATGATGCTATTCCAGATGAAACCACAGTAACAACGATATGCCCAAGGCTGCGACATTTTAATGCAATTGTATTGTACAGAAATGTTTTTCCTGTTCCAGCACCCCCATTCAGAAAGAAAATAGTTCCTTTATTTTGAAAAATTGAAGAAGTGATTGTGTTATAGGCATTCCGCTGTACATTGTTGAGACAATCAATAGTAATTTGTGGATCTGCCTGTTGTGCCTCATTCTGCAGCTGTTGATGTTTGAATATCAATCGATTACCAACTACTGTACTCCAATTTGCAGTAGATTGAGGCATGGGTGGGAAGTTAATTAAACATTTGCCTGATTCATGAAGCATTCGATTCAAAAGATGGAGACAATAATCTTCAATTTGAGCATTAATTGGGTTAGAAATGACAAACAATGTACGAATCTTATGTGCAAGATCATCACATATATCCGTTGAGAATTGATTCCATAATGCACATGGATTTAGTGGAGAGCACTGGGTGAGAATAATATTAAACAATCTCCTCAATTGGTATCCAGTTTTCATAACTGCGGCCTCTTTCAAGCATTGTATTCATTCTTCATCATCTTCTAAAAGTCCCCTTGCAACACATGCAAATTTAAATGTATCATGCACAACATTATCAACCGTGCGTAAAGACCGAAACGACTTTGGTCCTTTGACAATAGTTAGTAACAAATGCAAATAAAATCTTTCACCACAATTAGGGCTAGCAAAATATATTCTACCAATTGCATATCTCCTTTCTCTTGATTTCCATCTCTTTTTCGACTTGAGCCAAACAAAATGTTGTGGAAATTCTTGATAAGTGAATGGACATTCATCTTCACTGGCAGCACAATATGCCAAAAAGCCAGTAAAAGTTGACATTTGTTGACTAGCTCTAGATTGAATCATTTCTAATGACTCTTCTAGGTTAAAAACAACGCGATGCATTCCAGGTAAATGAAGTGCTAATCGTACAACTGTTGGCATCTCTGCATGCAAAGAATGCCCAAATATTCGCTAAGCAGCTTCTAGAGGTCCAATATACCTTGCATTGAGATATTGTTGAATCTCATTTATCGATCCCAACACCATCGTTGTACAATCATAACCCCTTGTAAATGTACTTATGTATATACTTGACACATCTCATTCCGGCACAAACTTCCTAGTTTATATGACAGTTGAAAAGTTTAGAAAGATATGCATTGTATGGTACGACATCCCTGTTATCAACTTCTTGCCCCCTCACAGTATGTACTTGACCATTATTGCGACGACGATAGATAGGGTATTCATCTTGATCCATAATTGTTTTTGTGAAAGCTCAAGGATATCTTTTACTGCATGTACCATTTTCCATACATGATGCATACGGATTTCGAGCACCACATGGTCCATGTACCATACAACATTTGACAGTTTCAAAAAGCATAGGATCATCATTTGGGTCTGGAAATTCTGCACAGATCAATTTGTCTACTTGAACACATGTCTGAATTTTGTCTGGACCCTTAAGAAATAAAAGTGCATGCATATGGAGGACGCCTCGTTTTTTAAATTCAATTGTAAAAACATGTGCAACTTTATTTTCAAACACTTTATTTGCTTCTATCTCCTTCATCAAACATTTTCTCTTCAACTCAAAAATAAGGGCAATTAAATCAAGACGATCAATAGGTTTTTGATGTGGTAATAATGCTGAAGTAATTTCTGGCCAATTAGGATTTGCAGTCATGGTAAGAAAAATATCTGGGTGTTGGTTATATCGGGTAATAGCCATTGAATCTTGAAAGATTTCAAATATATGGCTAGGACTACCAGTAAATAAAGATGGCAAAACAAACCTTTGACTAATTTGACCATGTCGCACATAATCTGGATCAATATCTGACAACTCTTGGTAAAGCTCAACCCGAAGTTTCCCTTGATTAAGCTTGTAGTATGTCAATCAATTTTGCTCAGTTGTGACCCAAACATCTACCAAAAACTCTTGAAATAGTTTCCCACCTCTCAAAATTGTTGAATACTCTGTGGGTCGTTCAAACAAATGATAACTATAAAAATCCATTTGAGTAAGTCGATCAGTTGAAGGTCGATCATACTGAACGTTCCACAATTTCAACTTAGGTTCCCATGCAAGCTCACCATATGGAAATAATAGAACATAATATAATGGCAAGTATGCTTGGTGACATTCATTAATTTGCCTCAACTCATTATTTCCTTAGAAATGTAAGATAATATCTCTCATTCCACTTACCTCTGTTCCATCACCTGATATTACAATTGCAATCTCATCTGTAGTTGGTAGGTTTTATCGACGTCAATCAGTTGTTGAATTGTAATGAAGATAAGCAGGTAGATTGTGCCATGCCGAGTCTAATTGATGTAAAATGGCATAAGCTTGGCGAAATGTAGCTACAAATGCATTCACTTGCAACAAATTATCCTGAATAGTTTTGAGAACAGCCCTTCTCAAGTTAGGATTTCTACGATTACGAATTTCTAACGCTGAATCAAGGTCATAGATATACAGTTGAGCATAACTCGCATCCTACCTTGGTTGTGGTTGTAGTGATCCTGTTCAATGTCGTAATTCCCATGAATAATGAATGATGTAGGGCCCCTTACACTGAGTACTCTAGGATCCAATGTAGCACCAAGACTCGTAAAAGCATTGGTTGCATTGTACAATCTAGTATAACTTCGAAAGGATTTTGATTGATCATTATTCCCATCGTACAATGCCTGAAGTGATGGAGGGGGTGTAATAAGTAAAGGTAGCCTAATCTTTCCCTCCAAACAGCAAGTTCCGAATAAATGACGCTTTATAAATGATTTGGTCAATTTTTCATCCATCCAATGTAAGGCTGAACAAGAAGGACATAATATATCCATCTTGCCAAGATAATGGCGACAAGATCTTTGTGTGCTCGGGCGTCAATTGATGTACTTATAGGCATATCTTCTAATTCATTATCAGTACATAGATCTTCTTGAAGAAATTGACTTATAGGAGTAGACCTATGAATATTTGTGTATAAATAAAATTCTATAAAACAAAATGGTATGAACAAGAGTATGTATTTCAAGATTAGACATAATAGTTTACCGATTTCTTTGTGGAGCTAAAGATGTGCTTAGCATAGAAAATGAACATGTAGAATGATGGGCAACCATTTTTAGTTTTTGTACCGAATGAGAATCTTCAGTTATTGTTTCTCATTCCAGGTAAGCACGATTACGACGAATTGGTGTTAAAGAAGGTTGTATTGGTTAAATATATTCTTCTGATCCTTCTTGTTCTGGTTGCAAGCATTGAAATTCAAAGTACGACTTTTCACTTTTTTCACACTCTCGCCGTGCACGTTGGGCCAATGCAGCTTTTGATATTACATTATCATTTTGTGCCTAACATGAAAATATTTTGTCATTGGTGCAAAATATGTGAATATGTTGTGCTTAAAATGAAATATCTTCATGTTTCTTTCGTTTCTCTTAATTTTATTTTATATTTTATTTGTTTTATACCTTTAATAGTGTTATCTGCATTTATTTCTTTCTTCATGCATTTTGTTTTCTATTAAAAAAATAAAGAAGAAATAAAAATCTGTCTTATTTAGTTTATCTTTTCATTAGATAGTTTGTCTTTATTCGTTTGTTTTTTTTTTCCCTATTTGCTTCATATGGTACATTATAAATGCACATGTATCCATGCAAAATAAAAATAAATAAATTTGAAAAACATATATAAATAATAGCAAGTTATAGGAGAATATATTACAATCATTCTACAAAAACAACATAAAGTAACAAATTCACATAGTTTTGCTTCATATTTTTTAAAAGGAATATATACCATTTGACATGCATTTGTCATTCTCTTGTCAGAATGAGCCACCTTTTCTTTTTCCTTAGACATTGGATTGACCTTTTCTTTTTCTTTTGCTTAACAAATATAAAAATAAAAAAAATATATATTCAAAAAATTTATAAAAAAAACTTATATAAATAAAATACATACAATGTTTGACTTGATTTTGTACTTACCGCACGAACACGAATAACATTAAAGTCATGCTCATCATGAATGACCACACCAACATTTCTAGATTGGGTTGTAGAAGTAGGCCTACAAAAATGGATTGTGAACAATTTAAAATATGTATAATAAAGTGGTAATAGTAGAGTATATATTTCAAGAATTTAACAGAGTTGTTTACCAATTGAGGGTTAAAGAAGGTTGTCTTGGGTTAATACATTTCTTTGATTTCTCTCGTTCTCGTCGCAAGTGTTGTCCTAATGAACATGGGTTTAGATTTTTTTCACATTCTCGCCATGCACGTTAAGCCAATGCAGCTTTTAATAACACATTATCATTGTACGCCTAAAATGAGAATATTATATAATTAGGTGCATAAAATGTGAAGATTATCCCCTCTCTTGCTTTCCTTTTATCATGTATTTGTTCTTAAAAGTTTAACTAACTTTTCTTATTCGCTCGGTTGAGTTGTTAGTCACATAAAAACCAATACATGTATTGATGAAATTTAAAAAGGGAGGAAAAAAATAATTTGAAAATAAATTACGTACACAAAGCTACAAACTGCAAACTGCAAATTGATTGTTGTCTTTTTCTTCTTTCCTTAAGAACTTATAAGTAAAATAAAAATTTTAAAAACCTATTTTATATAATTAAAAACTTCATTTAATTAATTTAAAAAAATCTATTTCAAATTAATGTTCAGACAAATGCATTAACATGTATAAATGTTTACTTTAACATGGTTTAGAAAAATATTTCACAATCAGTCGAAACAATTGAATAAATATTTTAAAAACAATAACTCATAAAAATGTACATTAAAAATAGTATATGACACTATGCAATTCTTAAAAAAAAAAAAACTATATGAAAACAAAAAATTAATAAATATTTGGAAAACAAACTTTTTAAAAATTTTAAGAAACCATACCACGAGATTTGCATGTTCCTTTCCTTTGTTAGAAGGCATAGCCTTTTCTGTCTCCTTTGATATTGCTGTGTTTTCCTTTGCCTTTGCTGATAAAAAAATAAGTAGAATCTATTTATAAATAATTTATAAAATGATAAGAAAATGCATTCGCATATTAGTTACTTTTAGGCTTACTTCATGAATGCAAATAGTATTAAGCTCACGCTCATCGTGAACAACAACATTCACATTTCTTTGTTGAAGAAATTGAATTTATATATACAAAAACTTTAGAGTGATAAATAAAACTTTGTACAGATAAATAAGAAAAAAAATCATTTCTTTCTTGATATTACCGTTCGGTGTTTAAAGCATTTATTAGAAGAAAATTAGATATGATAAGTTTAAAATAAATAAATAAATAGGATTTACTTTAAATAAATAGGCTTTACATTATAAGAAAGGTACTTAAATTTATATGGAGGGGGAGAAAAAAAAACTTACTTGACCGAAAACAGTGATATTGTCCATAACTGTTGTACTTCAACCTGAAAATATTTGGTTATATAATTATGACTATTGAATGATGTATTTTAACAATGACATTAAAATGATAAAATTAAAATCAGCCCTAGCAACATAAAGGGTATTAAAATGGGAGCATAACAATTGTCCAAATTTGAACTCTTCTCTTCCCCAACTGACTTCAATTTTATAGTCTTCAAATTAAATTTATGATTATCATTTAGAAAGTCCAAACATAATTTTATGACAAAAAGAAAAAGAAAAAAAAACTGTTTAATCAGCAATTTAAACAGTTGGTAATAAAAAATAAAAAAAAAAAACTTGATATATGTTACAGACAAATGAGATACTTGGTAATGAAAAAAAAGAAAAGAAGCAGAAAAATGTCATAGACAAACCATACCTATATATATAATGAACAACCATCAGCCAAACTATACCTATACATGAATAACTTACAAAGCAAGACCATAATGAGGAGTTCACGCAAACCATATCTATATAATATTCGTGCACCCAATTAAATTCCTTCAGATCTTGAACCCAAAGTAATGAAATCCAAGGATCTCAAACCTCAAAAACAGGTTCTAATTGCTTCTTTGGAGTCCTTTAGTGACAATTTGTTAAAGCTGAATTCAAGTTATTAATTAAGAAAATAAACACACATGTTTCAAGTTGTACACATATGAATAAGAATTAAATTCATCAATCTCAACCACAGCCGAGTGGTCGAAACCGCCCCCATCGTATTCTGCTGATTAGATCGGTTCTTCAAGTAATTCGGATTTCTGCATTCCCCCTAAAATTATGATGTTTGTAAAACAATAATTAAAAAATATGCTCAGCCTAAACAATAATTAATAAAATGAACAGGTACGCATTTCAAGTTGTAAGCATTTTCCCAATAAAACTCTTCTCAACTGTATTTAGGCTCTATTTGAAAATTGCTAACTTAGTTAATTTTCTAATTGTTTACAAAAAAATATATATATATAAAAAAAAAACTTATACAATATTTTATAGTGATTTTTAAAATTTTAATTTAAAATTATAATTCCAAAACGGCCTTGATTACTCAAACAATACCTAATTAACATATCCTCTCAGATGACGACACATAATTATTAACTCCACACCTGGGCCAAACAAAAAAAAAAGTAAATATGAGAAATAAAAAATAAAAATAAAAAGGAAAAATACTAAACATAAATATATGAAATTGGGGAACGAAAAAACAAAAAGAAGAAAAATCCAAACTGTTTAAGTATAAGTGTAAGCAATTGCACACATTTTATGATTCACAATTTTGGGAAAAAAAATTGAACCAAACAGGAAAGTATGATTACACAAAAAATACAAAAAAAAAAAAAAAAAATTCAAGACACTCATTTTATATGATTTTTTTAAGAGCATAGAATTTTATTTTAAATAACAAACACAGAAAAATCAAAATTTTAAATACTGAATTTATACACAAGCAAACAAACAAACAAAAGCTTAAAAAAATGAAATGGGAAAAAACCCCAAACTATTTAAGTCTAAGTAAGTGTAAAAAATTGCGGACATTTGTGATAGTACGAACAAACAAACAAACCATTTTTACCAAACTTAACAAAAAGTCAAAAAAACATCATTTCTAAGTGGAGGGCAATTTTGTCATTCTAAAGCCAAAAAGTCAAACAAGAATACCAAACGACTAAAAAAGTCTCGGGCTAAAAAAGTCAAAAAAAACTAAAAAGCCAACTAAGAAAGCCAAAGCCAAAGCCAAAACCAAACGACTCCTAAATAAGAGCAACTAAATAAGCCAAATCAGATGTTTTCTGTTCCATTGAGAAGGCCAAGAAAAAGTTTGGATTGTTTGTTCTATGGTGGGCTCCATCAGAAAGTGGTTGTCCTTGGACTTATAATATTGGGTTTTGATGATATGTTGCAACCTGTTACATTGAAATTGAGATCCCCATTTCTTGCCACAAATGGAGAGGAACCAAACCAGAGTAGCTAAATAAGCTCGTATATCAATAGGTTTAAGTTAAGAATTAGGATTCAAAGCAACTTAATTGGCTTATCTATTGAAGGGTTTAAGTTAAGAGTTATGAATTCGAAGCAAACCATTAGCAATAACCAAACTAAGAAATTTCCATAATGTGATTTAAATATTATTAAATATAATAATATTAAATTATTAAATTATTTTTTTAATCAACTTATATTTTTTAAATATCATCATTTATAAATTATTATCCAAACATATCATTTCTTATTTTTATTTACATCGCCTCATCTAATTGAAAATTAATTTTGTTCACATTTTGAAAGTAATATTAATTTCAGTTTCTAATGTTCTGTATTAATCAAAACTAAACTACCTCCCTAAGAGCTCCAACTTCTATAGCTGATCCATATGTGAAGGTATAATGTTTTCATGAGACCACCAGGCCCTATGATTAGGAATTATCATACCAGAAGCCCCCATATCCTTCTTCGAAATAAAAAAGCATCATCATTGACTTTCAGCTATTGTTAAGGAAGGGGCTCCAAATTAACTCTGAGACTTGGTTCTCTGCTAGTGCCTTGAAGAGCATCAAGTAGCTGGCACATTAGCTAAATTCATTCAATCATATGAACAACAAACAGGAAAGGAATGAAGAATAGAAAGAAGAAAAGTACTGGAATAAGTCTAAAATGTTTAATGAATACAAATTTTTATTAGGCACGGTGTAAATAATTTTAAGATTAAAATGTAGTTATAAAAATATATTTAACAGACTGTACTCTACATTCCCAACAAATCAAATATAAAAAAAAATTAATGAAACCCAAGGATCTCAAACCTCAAAAACAGGTTCTAAACACTTATTTGGAGTCCTTTGTTGTTCCTAAAATGCAAAAAAAAATTGTAGAGCATTATTGCAATAAGAACAACAAAAAAGTAATTCTGATTTCAAGTGTAAACACAACAAATTGGTTAGACCAACTCCCCAAAGCTATTTAAACTCCTCTTGACTTCAATTTTATACAGATGAAATTGAAAACAAAATCAAAATCCGTTATAATCATAATTATTTTGAAGTTCACCATTTATTGAATTTGATGAACGTAACAACAATTCTCAAGTGATAAATTTATGAAATCCTTTTGATTTCTTCATTATCTACATTTTTTTTTTTTCAAGTTAAAAGTATGCATTAGTATATTTTGGTATTATACATCAGCAACTCTCTAAATCTTTTGGTATTTTATATAAGCAGAGCAATTCTATTGCTATTTCATTTAAATCTTTCAAAAATTCAATTGCGTAGTTTTGTGGTTAAGAAGTTAAGATGGTGAAATTTTAGTTTTATTCTCCAATACACACACATGTAATATTGTATTTCATTGTTAGGTCTCCAGTATGTAATATTATTCAAGGATTGTAATAGAGATGGTGTGTTCAAGTAATGCTTACGATGACAGACTGACAATGTTAGAAAGGGTGTTAATTAGTGTTAAAAAAAATTTCAACTATTGTGAATGTAAGACTCGCTCATACGTGTGTGTGACAGACAAATGTAAATTTGATAATTTTAGATGTCATTCATTCAACTATTATTGTATAACATCTATATATTGTTTTTTGGATAAGTATTGTTGTATAACATCTCTTATGTTGCAACCAAGGGAAAAGGTGATTACCAAATTGATTATGTACCTGCTCCTCGGGTCACTGAGGTTGACAAAACTAATGATATAAGGTACAATCAAATTTTCTAATGTACATGCACCATTTCTTTATTTTAAAATTTGGGGACAAGGGTGTTGGTTTTGGTTAGGAGAAAGGATGCTTTGGTAATTAAGCACATTTTATTTCTTAAGCTTTAAGCACCCTTTCAGTTCAATTTGAAGAGGACATGGTCTTTCAATTTTGCTCAAGTGAGTCTTCTTATTCATTTTCTCTGTGTTGTGACAGCCATAGACTATAGTTCTTATTCATCTTCTCTATGGCCTCGTTTGGGAAATAGCTATTTTAGTAGGCTATTTGGCTTTTTGGCTATTTTAGTAAGCTATTTTAGTTTTTGTGTTTGGGAAGTTGAGATGGATTTTATTTGAGTTGTTGTATTGAAAAATGTGTTAAAATGATGTTTGAAATTAGAATGACAAATTTGCCCCTAAAAATATATTTTTTTTAAATTGTTGTCAAGGGATAAAACCGTAATTTACCATCTAAAAATCAAATTTTGTAGCTGACAGTGTAGGCACAGCCTACACTGCCGCTGTGCAGGCCTACATGCACCATTTCTTTATTTTAAAATTTGGGGACAAGGGTGTTGGTTTTGGTTAGGAGAAAGGATGCTTTGGTATCTTAAGCTTTAAGCACCCTTTCAGTTCAATTTAAAGAGGACATGGTCTTTCAATTTTGCTCGAGTCTTCTTATTCATTTTCTCTCTGTGTTGTGACAGTCATAGACTATAGTTCTTATTCATCTTCTCTATGTGTTGTGGCAGTTATAGACTATAGTTCTTCTTATTCATCTTCTCTATGTGTTGTGGCAGTAATGACCTCCTACTTCTTCTAGAATTGGTGAAATTTGATTGATTATTGGACACTAAAATTTGGTTGGCCATGTTAACTATTAAGACAGACTACTAGTATTTTTTTGTTCGTGTTTCATAAAATGTACAAAACAAGTAAAACAGAGTGTAAGCCATTTCCCAATGTATATCCTTCAAAATCAATCAAGCAGTTAGTCATTGAAAAAGAAAACTCTTCTATCATTAAAACATTGCAAAATCAATAAAACATTGTGATCCATTGACAAACATGATATCAACAAAACAGAACACATGAAGCAAAACCCACAGTATAGCCTCCTTTCTATTTACATTATATTAACAAAACAATTCATACATTCACAACACCAACACTTCAAAGATTCCCCCCCCCCCCCCCACCCCCCCCCAAAAAAAAAAAAAAGCATGAAATTGAACAAAGAAAACCATACACAACGATTAAAATATATAACAATTTGAAAATAATAAATTTCAAATTTTATCTTATACATATCAAACAATTTATTTTTAGTTTAGTACTTAAATTTGATCAAACTTCTTTTTAACTCAATAAATTTAACATTCAATTTTCAATACTTCATTTTTAATTTTCAACTTTATTAAACATTACCTGAGTCCAAACCTTATCATAAGACATAGAACTAAAGTTCGAAAATATAAGTAGAGTAATCTACCTAAAACTCAATCTTTTATAACAGATTGATGTGTTTCCAAAATTATTTTATGTAGTCAGTTTTGTATTTGTAAACTTGTTACGAATCTTATATAGGTTAGGGCAAATTACCTTGGATAAAACTAATAGCTTGAACTGCAGAAAGTGTTATTTGACTGCACACTGGCGCCACAGATTTCTCTTTGCAAGAGTTTTCAGCTTCTTATCTGATTGATTCAAAATTTAGCCCTAAAACTGAAGCCACAGGATTCTCAAAGAACTGAAGAAAGAATTGAAGAAATAAAGAGACAATGTATAATACCTCTGTTTTGAGGTTTGAATTGCAGGGAGCCGAAGGAAATTCAACGTAAAATAGCGATCAAGACAGACAAAGAACTGAAGAACTGAATGTAAAATACCTTGCAAGTTCGAAAATTGATGGTGATCAATGGCGACGAACCATACACAACGATTAAAATATATAACGATTTGAAAATAATAAATTTCAAATTTTATCTTATACATATCAAACAATTTATTTTTAGTTTAGTACTTAAATTTGATCAAACTTCTTTTTAACTCAATAAATTTAACATTCAATTTTCAATACTTCATTTTTAATTTTCAACTTTATTAAACATTACCTGAGTCCAAACCTTATCATAAGACATAGAACTAAAGTTGGAAAATATAAGTAGAGTAATCTACCTAAAACTCAATCTTTTATAACAGATTGATGTGTTTTCAAAATTGTTTTATGTAGTCAGTTTTGTATTTGTAAACTTGTTACGAATCTTATATAGGTTAGGGCAAATTACCTTGGGTAAAACTAATAGCTTGAACTGCAGAAAGTGTTATTTGGCTGCACACTGGCGCCACAGATTTCTCTTTGCAAGAGTTTTCAGCTTCTTATCTGATTGATTCAAAATTTAGCCCTAAAACTGAAGCCCCAGGATTCTCAAAGAACTGAAGAACTGAAGAAAGAATTGAAGAAATAAAGAGACAATGTAAAATACCTCTGTTTTGAGGTTTGAATTGCAGGGAGCCGAAGGAAATTCAACGTAAAACAGCGATCAAGACAAGACAAAGAACTGAATGTAAAATACCTTGCAAGTTCGAAAATTGATGGTGATCAATGGCGACGAACCATACACAACGATTAAAATATATAACGATTTGAAATTAATAAGGGGTTGTTTGGAGTGTCCTAAATAAGTGCACTTTTTGTCTTTTTAGACTAAAAAGTTGAGGAAAAAAATATAGATGTTTGCGTTAACTTTTTGACTTTTTATGAAAAAATGTGTATTAAAAAATTGTATAAATTAGTGTGTAAGGGAAAATTAGGATTGGGAGTTATGCAGCTGTAATTTTCGACTTTTGGTGAATAGTGATAACTTTTTAACTTTTTGGGTAACTTTTTGACTTTTTTTAGGTAACTTTTTGACTTTTTTTACACTTCCCAAACTTGGCCTAAATTTCAAATTTTATCTTATACATATCAAACAACTTTTTAACTCAATAAATTTAACATTCAAGTTTGAATACTTAATTTTTAATTTTCAACTTTATTAAACATTACCTGAGGCCAAACCTTATCATAAGACATAGAACTAAAGTCGGACAATAAAAGTAATCTACCCAGATGATAGAACTTTGAATGAAGCCATATGGAAAATGATCCACATAGCTAACCAGTATTTGGGATTATGGTTTTTGTTCAATTCACTACCACAGGTGTAGGTCATGTTCGAATAGCCATATTTTCAGATACTCGAACAAAACTGATGGCCCATAAAAGTGCCATTGTTCCCCTAATTCCACTATTTTCTCTGTTACTTAACAAAAGCAGGGGTATATAATATTTATTTATCAAATGTTGATCAGCAGATTTATACTATATATCACAAAGAATTCCAAAGATGATATGAATAAACCATGAACCAGAAATGATGATAAACAGGAATGAACCAGAAACAGAAATGATGATAAACCAGAAACCATGAACCATCAACAATTGAAATATTTGCATGTGAGAGTATTTAATAAAAAACAGAACCAGATAGAGAGAAAATGGCAAGAGAAGAAAACGAAAGGGAACAGAGAGAGAAGGGAAATAGAGACATAAATCTTACCTTGCACAGATAAAAGCCTCAGGTTAAACATAAATGAACCAGAAACAAAATGATGATAAACCAGAAACCATGAACCATCAACAATTGAAGTATTTGCATGTGAGAGTATTTAATAAAAACAAAAATGATGATAAACCAAAAACCATAAACCATCAACAATTGAAGTATTTGCATGTGAGAGTATTTAATAAAAAATAGAACCAGATAGAGAGAAAATGGCAAGAGAAGAAAATGAAAGGGAACAAAGAGACAAGGGAAATAGAGACAAAAATCTTACCTTGCATAAATAGAAGCTTCATGTTTGGTGTAGCTCTGAAGTAGCTCTGTTTCACCAAATAATAAACCATGAACCAAAAACAGAAATGATGATAAACTAGAAACCATGAATCTTATTTTACCAAGATTTAAACTAGGTAGCAAGAAATTTAGCAACCTGTAAGCTGCTTCTATGATAAATTAGCAGCAGATGCAATAGCCATAGCCAGTGAGTTAGCAACCTGTGAGTTAGCAGCAGATGCCTAAACTTAGCAATAGGATATTACAAATGCACATACCTAGTGAACAAGTTCCTATGATGAATTCTTGACAAGAAAGCAACCTATGAGCATGCTTCTGTAGTTAATGATTTGTAGTTCAATTTAAAATTGAAGCATAGAGAGAAAGAGAGAGAGGTACCGGAGAGCTCCAATCGGGGTTCGAAGCAGAGAGAGAAAGAAAAAACAACGGCGGCAGCTGTGGTGGTGGGAGGAGCCAACTCGGTTTCGCGGTTCTTAATCGAAAACCCTAGCCTTCAAAAAGCGAGTGGGAGGGCTGCGAATTGAAGCCACTGAGAGAGAAAGGGAGAGGCAGAAATCGGGTGAAAGAGAAGAAGAGAGGTAGCGTCAGGAGCTAGAGATAAAGGAGAGGAACAAAGAGAGAGATAGAGATAAGGAGGGAATAAGAAGAGACGTGCAATAGAGAGAGAGAGAGAGATAAAGACGGAATGAGGAGGAGACGAGAGTAAGTGGGAGAGGGAGAGAGCACCGAGTGTTTGAGCGGGAATTAAAACATCATCTCAACCATTGATGTTTATCACAATTAATTTGAGCCCTTAAAATGAAATGTATCTCTGATACATTTTATATATTTTCAAAAGCCGTTCTGTTTTATTATATAGATATACATTTGATTTGATTTGATTTGGATTGAGATGTAGACATTTGGAATTGTCTGCTATTTGGATTTTGATCAAGAACACCATTTTCGTATTGGCATGGGGTGTCCCAAAAGGAAAGCACCATTTTGTTATTCCTCTTATTTTGAAGTTGTATCTATAATAAAAGGGATCCTCTTGCTCAAATGCATGCTATCTATTCATTTTGTGTGTCATAGATAAACAGAATTTCAGGTATATTTGATTGTCAATGTTCCTAGATTAAGAGAGAATGATAAATGAAAATTATTCAAAAAAAAATATTATTTACACCATACCTTCAAGCAGCACGGGCATACATTAGTTTATTAAGATTACAGAGCACTTGCTGGTGTGCTTTATTTGGTGTCAAGTGATTTTTTATTATTATTGATAATGTTAGCAAGTGTACAATAGTTTTGATTTGTATATTTTGTTAAGTGTTAATAATTTTTTTTGGCTTGCTCTTATATTTTCAACATTTTAAATCTTATATATTTGTTTCTTAATTTGCATTAAAGTTAAGGGAGTTGTTATTTTATTTGAGTTCTGTAGAGCGTGTGATACAAATAAAATTATTACAAGTTCTTTAAGAAAAATAGTATTTCTTTATATTTTTTCAATATTTTTATCAAAAAATACTAAAGACTACAAATTTTAACATAATACGTATAAATTATAATTATATTTTGATTACAATATTATTTATACCGTGCCTTTAGGTACGGACATACGCTAGTATATATATATTATAAAAATATTAATAAAAAAAAACTCAAAATATATTTTTACATAAACACAGTTAATAGGATATTTTGAGACGTCTAACACCGCACCCTAACATCACTGTCTCCTCTCTACCTATATTTTCCTGTACCAGCACCGCTCTGGACCAACGAAGATGATCTAAAACATGCTTATCATCATCGATACCACTTTTAAATTTTATGCATGTAATCCAAAGTGGATATTAAAAGAAAACTTTTTACCATGAAACACAAATTTATTCAGACATGAACACAAACTTACATTTGATCAAGCATGTAAATTCAGTATGTATATCCATAACCATATTCATGAAGAAATAGAGGAGAATATAGAAAGAGAACAATTTCATAGAAACATTATTTAGTGTATGTGTCTCTGCGCGCGCGTGTGTGTGTTTTTTTTAAGTGTATTTATCCGACTCCTACTTGAAAGAAACTTTTATCATCATACAAATACACTCACTAATCATTTTGCAAGATGATATGAACATCAAAACCATAGAAATATCAAAACAATAAAAGACGAATGGCCATAAAAAAAGAACGATTCAGATCATTTCTATTCATCATCATCACTTCTAAATTTTATGTATGTAATCCAATGTTTTTTTGGGTAATTATGTAAATCCAATGTTGATGTTCAAAGAAAACCTTTTAACATCAAACACACAAATCCATTCAGGCAAACACAAACTTACATTTGACTGAAGGGTGTAAATTCAATACGTATATCCATATCCATATTAATGAAGAAATATAAGCAAAGAAAAATATGGAAAGAGTATTTCACAGAAACATTATTTAGAGCATCTGTGTGTGCGCAGCTGTGTGTGTGTATTTATACCAATCCTACGTGAAGAAAATTTGCACAGATGACATGAACATGAACATGAACATGAACATGAACACCATAGAAATATCGAGACAACATGTGATTCATAATTCTAGCAACAGATACATAAGACACAACAGTGGGACAGGAAATATGGCTACACTAAATCAAAACAAGTGGCACATAAATCAAAACTCTAATTTGTATCAGGTGTGGCTTGTGATTTGATCAAGCAAATAACACCCTGATAATAATTTTGCAAATAAAATATTCAACTACAATTTATAATGATATATATATATGTACATCAACGTTGTAAACATATGAAGCACAAAAACAAAATGTCAGATTTATTCATAGGGAAGTATAAATTAATAACAATGTATATAAACTCACAACCTATACACTATTATGGCCATGTTTGGTAGAGCTGTGAGAAAGTACTTATAGCTTATGCCTCAACAGCTTATAGCTTATAACTTTCAGCTTAAGCTGATTTGCAGCTTATTCTTAAAGCATCTCATGCCCCACTCAAAGAATAAGCTGATTTCTGACTTCCAAAAAGCTATAAGTTATAAGCTATAAGCTAAACTAAACACATCAAAATAGCTTAAATTAAGCTGAAAGCTGAAATAAGCTGTAATTAAACTCTGCCAAACAGGCACTATGTATTAATCAACACAATTCACAGAACAGAAAAGAAGACAGAATGAATACAGAATTTTAAGAAAAGTGCAAAACAATGAATAATGGTCGGATAACAAAAACAGTTAATATCCAAAATGCAAGGTCAATGACCAATGGTTGGTTAGTCACTGGTTGAGATGAGACAACACAAAACAAGTACTAAAAAGGAAATCAATGGTTATCAAGATGTAAATCATATTATTACATGCAAATACACAATGTAATCTTTATTTTCTTATATGCAAGTGCAAGTATAGTTTAAAAATTAGATCCAAGACTTCCAAGTGTTAAATGAACAGAAGTGTATACATATATAATGTATCTTTCCAATCAAAAACTAGCATTGCAACAAATTGACAAACATATAAATAAAGTTTACAAAAATGAATATAAAAGCAAAAGGATTTGCACTGTGTTCAAAACACCGTGCACATGAGAGAGCAACCTTTTTAAGTATAATACAGTAAATAACAGCTTTAGACTGCTGTGATTTTCTGTGATAATTTAATGATATATTGCATGAATTTCCCCCCAATATAATTTAAATCATAAATTAAAATAAGAAACAGAAAATTTGGCCAGTGATTGTGAGAGGCATGTAATCGCCGTCCTAAAGCTGTTATTGCCTCCCCACATTAAGGTATTAGCAGACAATGAACTCCAAGATAACCCAAATCACTGCCAATCCTTCCAATGTTTGCCCAGAAATATATATATATATTACATATGGGTTTGGTTAACAAGTGCTCCAAGGGCAGTGGTTAACAATGTTTTAATTGATTGTACATTATGGTCATGTTTGATTCACAAGATTAATAGTGAAGTATTAATAATCTTATTAAATTAGTGTAGTATTCACTATCCAATTGGATTAATGTCCATTGGATTAATAATCTCACCCCTACCCCATTACTAATAATCTTACAAATTTGTTGGATTAATTATTCGTTGGATTTATAATCCTAAACCAAAATATTAAAACAAACATAGGATAATTGGGCCTACGGATTAATAATCTCAATCCCATGCTCTAATCCACCCAATCAAACATGCCCTATATGTTACACGCACTCCCATGCACTATTTACAAACATGTCAAGCTTCTTACCAAGTGCCCTAAGGGCACTCATTAACAAAACTCATTATATATATGTATAGAAGAAAATATTTAATAAAACAACAGACAGCATGTGAGAAAAAACATCTTACGCTTTTCATCCTCCTCCCAAACCACATTTCATATCTGTGTCAAAGTCAGACATGTATTTATCAACAAATACAAAAGCAATCATTTTCTTTGATAACAATCATCGACTTTTAGCTGCAATTGCAGATATGGATCCCACTGAAAGAAAATTAAATATAATCATAATAAACAAAAGTTGTTTTCATTGAGATGCAAACTCAAATTGATTTTCCAAGTCATGCCAATCAACACTCATTTAAACTTTCATAAGCTTTGCAGACTCTGGTTTACATTTCTCTATGAAAAGAATAATCAAGATTTCATAACCTTGGGGAAGCATTTTGCAAAATAAATAGCAAATGGTACCCAAAATATGCATTTTGTTACACTTTAGTCCCCAATCTTTTAATTGTTCCATTTTGGTCTTAGTCACTAGCATCAACACTGTTCAAAATGGAGGGGGAATTTTCAAAATTTTACGAAAAAAAATAATGCAACAAAATTAAAATATTAGGGTCAATAATGAATAATTTGGAGACTAAATGAAACAACACATATTTAGGAACCAAAATGTACAAAATGCATACTTTGAAACTCTGTATTTTGGTCATTTTGATTTTGTTGAGCTTTTATTTAATTTAAACAGCTTTGACATCATGAACTAAAGTGTAAAGATCACATACTTTGCGGACAAAAGTAGAAGAATTAAGAGACTGGGGAATGAAGTGCAACAAAACACATACTTTGTGAATCATTAGTGTAGTTAACCGTATAACATACCTAACCTTGAATAGGTAAATGCAAACCCACCTAAAGGTAACATGTGCCATGTCCACTGACTGTATGCACATTTCATTCGTTTGATATGGCATTGTCAATGAGAGTTCAAAATGGGGTTGGTTAAAGCAGGATGCAGTGGGCCTAAAACATTTGTTAACGAACAAGCCATTGGAGATGAAGCAAAAAAATGAAGTTTTGGGGTCTAGCAGAATGAAACACACACAAACTAGGATACTGAATAGCAATACAGCAGTGATTTACTAAGGCATGCCAAAAAAATTAATTAATTAATTCTTGAATGTAAAAGACATGCATGAAAAGAGAGCAAATTTTTTGTGCGATATGAGACTGCAAGTGTCATGGACAGTAGGAATCAGTCACCAATTGGTAGCATAGTCATGTGGACATATCGTAGAAGCTCAGCACAGCTACAAGTAGCTGCACCAGGAGAACATCTAGATATTGCAATTTGCACGCCATCATAAGTACCTGCTTTAGTTCATCACCTTCCTCTCTATCATTAACAAAGTATCATTTACCTTTGACATCAAACTTTCCATCATAAAAATAAGGCAATTGTGAACCAAAACGAGGGTTAGGGGAGCACCAATAAATCAAAACCCCTCTTGTTTGCATTTGTGATGACTGGCAACCTGATAGAAACAGTTTAGCAAATGATTCCATAGTTACAATACCATATTTAACTACCTAAACTTGGCAATTACTACAAATCAAACAAAAAAAAACTCAATGTCTCAATTTTAAGTTTAAACACTAAAGCACCTTCACATACAACATAGTCTACTCCAAAATCGAGTCAATAAATGAACAAACAAAAGTATTCTTGAAGAAAGATCCAAACAGAAGTTCAGCATTTTGTCAACACAATTCTAATATTGGATGCACAAACAGTCAAGTCAACACATTGAGCTTTTGAATTTTCAAAATTGATATTAAAATATCAGAAGGAAGAACTCAGATGAGTAAGGTGACCATCAAATCCGGCCACAAAAACCACCAGCAGCAGAAAGCAGGGCAGTCAATGGGCACAGAGTCTGTCACATTATTTCTTCATGGTTCACTATGCACAGATGGACTTAACCAAAGTATGGTTAATATGACTACTGAAATGAATATCCAATACAGAATTGGAAAAAATATACAAGTCTAGACGCAAAATCACTGAAGATAAGGGTATAAATCTATGTTACACCAATTAAAAGCTCCCTACAAACTAAATCTAGAGTAAAATTCATGAGTGCCAACTGCTAAAAAGTTGATCAAATACATCACATCCATGGAAAA